GGCTCAGGTGCCAGCCACATACACCAGAGCTGGCAGGTTCAAATCTAGCCAGGGCCTGCCAAACAACAATGACAGCTACAGGCAAAAAATAGCCAGGCACTGTGGCAGGCGCTGTAGTCCCAGGTACTTGAGGGGCTGAGGCAAGAGAATCACTTAAGCCCAGGAGTTAGAGGTTGCTGTGAGCTGTGATGCCACAGCTCTCTGCCCAGGGCCACAACTTGAGGCTGTGTCTCATAAAAAAAGATTCAGACATGAAATCTCCCTCTTCTTTGCTTAAATAATAGCAGGGCCACTTGGACTGAACTGGCCCTGCTCCACATGCAGAGTATGTGAGAGAGCAACAGGAACACAACTGGTACTGGTCCCAGGGAGTGGAAAAGGCAGCAGATGGGAACATAACCACCCTCTGCTGAGAGGGGTGGGAGAGGGCCCTCACATGGCTAAGGGCTGTGTCTCAACCTCTCCTCTATACTTACCAGAAACAGAAACTTGGCCATAAATAATGGATAAGCCACTGCCTCTGCAGGGAGGCAGGTGCAAGTTTACAGTAATAGGAGAGGACTGCCATTAGCACTGGCCACAGGTAGGGCTGGGGAAGGACACAGGAGGAGGGTATGCTGCAGAGAGGTACACCCCTCTCACTCACACACAGACAGCAGGCTAGAAGGATGGCGTACCTAGTGCCTTGCAGAAGGGACAAGGTGGCTCTCCTGAGGCACATAGCAAACTGGGGTGGTGAAGAGATGAGGGCAAGTCTGAGTGGCTTGACCCCCACCCAGTGCCAGAGCTGGGAATGGCCCCAAGACCCCCTGAGCCACTGGCTCTGAGCCCTGTCTACGTCCCCTTCCCCTCCTCCGAGACTCAGGGAAAACTCTGGTCCCTCTTCCCACAGACTTACATTACTGCACTGAAACTACCTACAGGGCTCAGGGTACTGTCATGGGACTCCTATAGAGAGATATAGTTATGGGTGCAGATTGCAGGTTTTCTCACATTTGGAAAACAGGGGGACACCTGTAGTTTGAAAGATGGGGCTGGCTCGGCGCCTATAGCTCAACCGGCTAAGGCGCCAGCCACATACACTTAAGGTGGCGGGTTCGAATCCCCAGCCCGGACCCGCCAAACAATGACGGCTGCAACCAGAAAATAGCCGGGCGTTG